CTTGACCTAATACATACTGATGTATATGGTCCCATTAGTGTTAGGACAAGGAACCAACATGTGTATTTCATCACCTTCACAGATGATTTTTCACGATATAGTTACGTGTGAGACACAAGTCTAAATCTTTTGAAAAGTTCAAAGAGTTTAGACAAAATGGTCGAGAGACAGTTAGGGAGAGAAATTAAAGCCCTTCAATCAGATCGATGTGGCGAGTATCTCTCTGACGAATTCAGGGACTACTTAAAGGACAATGGGATAGTATCACAGTTAGCTCCTCCTGCTACACCACAACTTAACGGTGTTTCAGAGAGGAGGAATATGACCTTATTGAATATGGTCTGGTCGCTTCTCATACACTCAGAGTTACCCACATCCTTTTGGGGTTATGCATTAGAGACTGCGATTTACGTACTGAACTGGGTTCCAACCAAATCGGTTCCGAATACTCCATATGAACTTTGGACCGAAAAAAAACCAAGTGTTAGACACTTGAAGATTTGGGGTTATCCAACACACGTTAAAAGAACGAGTGCAGACAAGTTGGAATCCAAGACCAGCTGTTGCCTATTTGTAGGCTATCCAAAAGGTTCTACAGGTTACCTATTCTATGACCTAAGTGAGCAGAAAGTGTTCTGTAGTTGAAATGCACAATTCTTGGAAACCGATTACATCCTGGAATCCCATCGTCAGGAAGTTATTCTTGATGAGGAGAGCTTAGGAGCAGTGGGAGATGTCCCACAAGTTCCAGGTAGTGACCAACCTAGAAGATCCACTCGGGTATCCGGGCCACCAGTCTGTTATGGTTATGACCATGATAGTTACCTGGTGGAAACTTTAACTAGTGAGGAAGATCCCGTGACTTACGCGGAAACTATGTTGGACATAGATTCTCAGAAGTGAGTGGAGGCCATGAGAGCAGAGATGGACCCAATGGAGACCAATGGAGTCTGGACTCTAGTAGATCCACCCTCCGGGGTAAAAGCAATCGGTTGCAAATAGATTTACAAGAAGAAGAAAGGCCCCGATGGTAGGGTTGAGACCTTCAAAGCTCGTCT